TGGAGAGCAAAAAATAGCAGGACTTGCAATTCTCATTTATGATAAAACAGACTTTAAAGCAACAAAGATCAAAAGAGACAAAGAAGGCCATTACATAATGGTAAAAGGATCGATACAACAAGAAGAGCTAACAATCCTAAATATATATGGACCCAATACAGGAGCACCGAGATGTATAAGGCAAGTTCTTAATGACTTACAAAGAGACATAGACTCCCACACAATAATAGTGGGAGACTTTAACACTCCACTGTCAATATTAGACAGATCAACCAGACAGAAAATGAACAACAATATCCAGGACTTGAACTCAGACCTGGAACAAGCAAACCTGATAGACATTTACAGAACTCTTCACCTCAAATACACAGAATATACATTCTTCTCAGCACCATATTACACCTACTCTAAAATTGACCACAAAATTGGAAGTAAAGCACTCCTCAGCAAATGCAAAACAACTGAATTCATAACAAACAGTCTCTCAGACCATAGTGCAATCAAGTTAGAACTCAGAATTCAGAAACTAACTCAGAACTGCACAGCTTCATGGAAACTGAACAACTGGCTCTTGAATGTTGATTGAATAAACGATGAAATGAAGGCAGAAATAAAGAAGTTCTTTGAAACCAACGAGAACGAAGACACAACATACCAGAATCTCTGGGACACATTTAAAGCAGTCTCCAGAGGAAAATATATAGCAATAAGTGCCCATACAAGGAGAATGGAGAGATCCAAAATTGACAACCTATCGTCAAAATTGAAAGAGCTAGAGGAGCAAGATCAAAAAAACTCAAAACCTAGCAGAAGACAAGAAATAACTAAGATCAGAGGAGACCTGAAGGAGATAGAGACACAAAAAACCCTCCAAAAAATCAGCAAGTCCAAGAGCTGGTTTTTTGAAAAGATCAACAAAATAGACAGACCACTAGCCAGAGTGAAAAAAAAGAAAAGAGAGAACAACCAAATAGATGCAATAAAAAACAATAAGGGGAAATCACCACACATTCCACAGAAATTCAAACCATCATCAGAGAATATTACAAACAACTCTATGCACATAACCTAGTAAACCTGGAAGAAATGGATAAATTCCTGGATACCTGTGTCCTCCCAAGCCTAAACCAGGAGGAAGCTGAAACTATGTATAGACCAATAACAAGGTCTGAAGTCGAGGCAGCAATTAAGAGCCTACCACACTACAAAAGCCCAGGGCCAGATAAGTTCACAGCTGAATTCTACCAGACACACAAAGGGGAGCTGGTACCATTCCTTCTGAAACTATTCCACATAATTCAAAAAGAGGGAATCCTTCCTAAATCATTTTATGAGACCAACATCATCCTGATACCAAAACCCGGCAGAGACCCAACAAGAAAAGAAAACTTCAGGCCAATATCCATGATGAACATAGATGCAAAAATCTTCAATAAAATACTGGCAAGCCGATTGCAACAGCACATCAAAAAACTTACCCATCATGATCAAGTAGGATTCATCCTGGGGATGCAAGTCTGGTTCAACATATGCAAGTCTATAAACGTAATTCACCACATAAACAGAACCAAAAACAAAAACCACATGATTATCTCAATTGATGGAGAGAAGGCATTTGACAAAATTCAACAGACCTTTATGCTAATAACCCTCAAGAAACTCGGTAGTGATGGAACGTATCTGAAAGTAATAAAAGCTATTAGACTGGATTGGAAAAATGTGGCACATATACACCATGGAATATTATGCAGCAATCAGAAATGATGAGTTCGTGTCGTTTGTAGGGACATGGATGAATCTGGAGAACATCATCCTCAGCAAACTGACACAAGAACAGAAAATGAAACATCGCATATTCTCACTCATAGGTGGGTGATGAAAAATGAGAACACCTGGACACAGAAAGGGGAGTACTAAACACTTGGGTCTATTGGGGGGAAAAGGGGAGGGCCAGTGGGAGGGGGAGGTGGGGAGGGATAGCCTGGGGAGAAATGCCAAATGTGGGTGAAGGGGAGAAGAAAAGCAAAGCACACTGCCATGTGTGTACCTACGCAACTGTCTTGCATGCTCTGCTCATGTACCCCAAAACCTAAAATCCAATAAAAATTAAAATAAATAAATAAATAAATAAAAGCTATTTACAACAAACCTACAGCCAATATCTTACTGAATGTGTAAAAACCGAAAGCATTTCTTTTGAAATCCGACACGAGACAAGGATGCCCTCTTTCACCACTCCTATTCATTATAGTACTGGAAGTTCTAGCCAGAGCAATCAGGCAAGAAAAAAAAATAAAGGGTATTCAAATAGGAAAGGTGGAAGCCAAATTGTCTCTATTTGCAGACGACATGATAGTATACCTAGAAGAACCCATTGCCTCAGCCCAAAAACTCCTGAAACTGATAAGCAACTTCAGGAAAGTCTCAGGATATAAAATCAATGTGCAAAAGTCACAAGCATTCCTATACACCAATAACAGACTGAAAGATAGCCAAATCAAGAATGAACTGCCATTCACAATTGCTACAAAAAGAATAAAAGACGTAGGAATACAACTTACAAGGAATGCAAGGAAAACTACAAATCACTGCTCAATGAAATAAGAGAGGACACAAACAGATGGAGAAACATATCATGTTCATGGTTAGGAAGAATCAACATTGTAAAAATGGCTATACTGCCCAAAGTAATTTACAGAATCAATGCTACCCCCATCAAGCTACCATTGACTTTCTTTACAGAACCGGAGAAAACCACCATGAGCTTCATTTGGAACCAAAAGAGAGCCAAGTCAATCCTAAGCAAAAAGAACACAGCGGGAGGCATCACACTACCAGACCTCAAACTATACTACAAGGCTACAGTAATCAAAACAGCATGGTCCTGGTACCAAAACAGAGATATAGACAACCGAAACAGAACAGAGGCATCGGAGGCAACACAACATATCTACAACCATACAATCTTTGATAAACCTGACAAAAACAAGCAATGGGGAAACAATTCCCTGTTTAATCAATGGTGTTGGGAAAACTGGCTAGCCATGTGCAGAAAGCAGAAACTGGACCCCTTCCTGACGCCTTACACCAAAATTAACTCCAGATGGATTAAAGGCTTAAACGTAAGACCTAACACTATAAAAACCCTAGAAGGAAATCTAGGCAAAACCATCCAGGACATAGGAGTAGGCAAGGACTTCATGACCAAAACATCAAAAGTATGGGCAACAAAAGCCAAAATAGACAAATGGGACCTAATGAACTCCACAGCTTCTGCACAGCAAAAGAAACAGCCACTAAAGTGAATTGGCAACCAACAGAATGGGAAAACATTTTTACAGTTTACCCATCTGACAAAGGGCTAATATTCATAATCTACAAAGAACTCAAATAGATTTACAGGAAAAAAACAAACAAGCCCATTCAAAATTGGGCAAAGGATATGAACAGACACTTGACAAAAGAAGACATACATGAGGCCAACAAACATATGAAAAAATGCTCATCATCACTGGTCATCAGAGAGATGCAAATCAAAACCACATTGAGATACCATCTCACGCCAGTTAGAATGGCGATCATTAAAAAATCTGGAGACAACAGATGCTGGAGAGGATGTGGAGAAAAAGGAACACTTTTACACTGTTGGTGGGAGTGTAAATTAGTTCAACCATTGTGGAAGACAGTGTGGCGATTCCTCAAGGCCTTAGAAATAGAAATTCCATTTGACCCAGCAATCCCATTACTGGGTATATATCCAAAGGACTATAAATCGTTCTACTATAAGGACACATGCACACGAATGTTCATTGCAGCACTGTTTACAATAGCAAAGACCTGGAATCAACCCAAATGCCCATCGATGATAGACTGGATTGGGAAAATGTGGCACATATACACCATGGAATATTATGCAGCAATCAAAAATGATGAGTTCGTGTCGTTTGTAGGGCATGGATGAATCTGGAGAACATCATTCTCAGCAAACTGACACAGAACAGAAAATAAAATACTGCATATTCTCGCTCATATGTGCGTGATGAAAAATGAGAACACATGGACACAGGGAAGGGGGTACTACACACTGGGGTCTATTGGGGGAATCGGGGAGGGACAGCGGGGGGGGGAGCTGAGGAGGGATAGCCTGGGGAGAAACGCCAAATCTGGGTGAAGGGGAGGAAGGCAGCAAAACACACTGCCATGTGTGTACCTGTGCAACTATCTTGCATGTTCTTCACATGTACCCCAAAAGCTAAAATTCAGTAAAAAACAGAAAAAAAAAAAACATTAAAAAAATGCGACGTCACACAGCCTCTATGCTGAGCCAACAAAAGACATGCACCAGAAGGTAGGTGACCTACAGAGAAACCCAGCTGGAGTGCACTGGCCACACTCACATCCAGGGTACTGTACTCTCACACAGACATGCACAAACACTTGAACACATACTGGTACACTCATCCATACACAAACCACACACACACATGCTCACAAAGAGAAAGAAAAAAAGGAAAACACATGGGAGGCATCAAACAGGCCCAGGCAGCTCCTAAGGCTGCGGGGTTCTGCTCTCTGCCAGAAAGCCCCTCAGGGAGAGAGAAGCCCCGTGGCACACAGGCTGGCAGTAACTGGAAATCTCTGCAGGGTCAGCTTTCAAGGAGACACAGCCCCCACAGCATCTGAGCAGGCCTGAAGCATCTTGGGGATGCTTGCGGATCGCCCTGGGCATCGCTGAAGCTCTGCTGCAGCTTTTCTCAGCCTGGTCCCACCCTACCCGACTCTGGTGATGATCCAGGGGAGAGAAGGGCCATTGCTGAACTCCCAGGCACTGCCACGGAGGGCCTCTGGTTTGCCAAGCTGCTAAGACAGTGGTTCCCCAGGCCACAGGGGCTGTCACTGTGATTCAAGCCTCGGGTGGGAGCTCTTGCTTATGATGCACAGCTTGCACATGCGCATTGGCATGCCCGGCTGGCCAGCAGCAACCTGGGTGCTCTGTGGCAGGGGCACCACAGCGGCAACAGAAAACGCTGATGCCCGGGTCTGAGGCAGCCCCGGGCAATGAGGCTGCCTGCCACAAGCTGAGCAGGAGCCCGACCGTCCTGACCTCAGTGGCACCCTGAGATGACTTTCCTGTTCAGGTCTGCTGGATGGGGAGGATTCTTGAGACCAGGAGGTGGGCACTCGGGACATCACTGCCCACTGGATTCCGGATCAGACAGCGTGGGCAGGGATCGGGTACCACAGGGCTGGAGATTCAGTCTGGTGAGGTGTGGGAGGGGTCGGTGAACCCCAGAAAGATGCCTGATACCTTCCGGGAGGGTGCCAGCAGGACGTTGCCCGGCTCCAGCTTCAACCTGGGCTACCCACCAAGGGGCCCTGCCTTGGTCTCCATGCCCAGGGACCCCTACTTCTCAGCACTGCTGTCCTGAGAAGCTGTGAAGAAAGACAAAGCGGCAAGTGCAGCCAGCAGCAGAGGCGGCCACACCCAGAACTGGCTTCCCCTGGGGGCATATTAGGTGAAGACAGGGTCTCAGTAGCTCTCTGTGGTGAAGCTTAATCCTGAAAAGGATGCCGCTGAGGACCCCCATGGAAGCCAAGCACAACATGCTAACTGATTTAGTCACTTTATTGTTTTCACAGAAAACATCATCATCTTGCTACAAAGTGTTTCCCTCAACTTGCTTTGACGGCCTCTACATGGACACCCGTTTTCAACTTTTCCTGTCCAGAGAAAAACAATTGCCAATGTTAAAAATGCAGATTCTCACTCTTATGCACACCTAAGTCCAGAGTGTAACCATGTGTGGGAGGTTAATCAGTGGATAAAATCTGTTTCTGAAGGACTCTTTTCACTAAATCATAGTTTAAGAAAGGTCCTACCCTGCCATTTGGTTTTCCATTTTTCCTGTGATGAGCAAATCCTAAAAATGGAACCTTTATCTCCTCCAGACAAGCTTTTAGAATCCAACTTACCTGACAAGATTTTCACTTTCTCCAGTTCCCTTGCAAGTTGCACATTCAGTTCTTCAGCCTTGGGAATGTGCAACATTTCGAGTAGGCACTTAGTGGATGCCAGTGCTTATGGGTCATGACATGGTCTGGATTTTCTTTCTTTTTTTGGCTATTTCCCAGAGAACTAGAGGAAGAAAACAAAGCTTCACTGTTGAGGTAGAAAAACATGAGGTTGAAAGAAGTTATGCACCTTTCCACAGCTTTAGCTTTGAGAAATGCTTTTTCTTAAAGTTGTTTTCCTCATAAACTTATCCTTTTGTTTGTTTGTTTGTTTTCTATTATTAGCACTTGTATAGCAGGAAAGAGTTACTGGAGAGAGAAGAAAAAGATGGTCTGTGTTGCAAAAGAAACCCCAGGCTCAAGACTGGAGAACTCAATGTGCAATTGCAATGGCACTGGAGACAATGAAAATCGTGTCAGGTAAGTTGGATGCTAAAAGCTTTTCTGGAGGGGATTAAGGTTCGATGTTTATGATTTGCTTATCACAGCAAAAATGTAAAACTAAATGGCAGGGTAGGACCTTTCTTAAAATATTATTTAGTGGAAACAGTCCTTCAGAAAAAGATTTCATCCACTGATTAACCTCCCACACATGGTGGCACTCTAGACATAGGCTTCCATAAGAGTGAGAATCTGCATTTTTAACACCGGGAATTATTTTTCTCTTGGCAGGACAACTTAACAACGGGTCTCTGTGTACAGGCCATCAAAGCAATTTAACCGAAACACTTTTTAGAAAGATGATGATGCTTTCTTTCAAAATAATACAGTGATTAACCTCCATTAGCATGTTGTGCTTGGCTTTTTTTGGGGTCCTCAGTGACATGCCTGGACATGCGTCTCGAGCTTGGCTTGGCCCCAAAAAACTTATGAGAGGCTCTCTCCACCTTATCTTCCACCAGGGGAGGTCAGTTCCAGGTGTTGCCGCCTCTGCCACTGGCTGCGCTTGCCACCTTGTCTTTCTTCACACCTTCTCCAGAGAGCAGTGGTGAGAAGCAGGGGTCCCTGGTCTTGGAGACCAAGGTCTACACCCTCCCGGAGGGTCTCAGACATGTTTTTGGGGTCCAGTGATCCCCGCTCGCTACACCTCACCAAACTGAATCTCCAGCCCTGTGGGACCTGATTTCTGCCCACACCATCCAATCTGGAATCCCCTGGGGAGAGGAGTCTGGAGTGCCCACCTCATGATCTGAAGAGCCCTCCTCCTCCAGCCTACCCAAACAGAAATGTCTGCTTAGGGAGCCACTGAAGTCAGGACCCTGGGGCTCCTGTGCTGCTTGTGGCACACAGCCTCATTTTATGGGTCCTCCTCAGACACCACCTCCAGCATTTTCCTTTACTGCAGCAGCTGGCAGGAGGGCACTGACATTGAGGCAGGTCAGCCAAGACATGCCAATGCGCATGCGCAAGTGGCACGTGACAACCGTGAGCAACCACCCTTGTCTCGCATCACAGTGACCATTCTCGTTATCTGGGGAACCACCGTCTGAGCGGCTTGGCAAAGCAGGAACCCTCCATGGCAGTCCCTCAGTGTTGGGCAATGGCCCTATGTCTCTCAGGGTTCGTCGCCACAGACCTACGATTTCAATAGTTGGGCAAGTTGGAACTAGGCAGAGAAAAGCTGCAGCGGAGCTTCAGGATTGCCCAGGGCAATCCCCAACAATCCCCACGATGCTTCAGATCTACCCAGGTGCTGTGGGTTTGCGTATCCTTGAAAGGTGTCCCTGCTAGGATTTCTAGGTACCACCAGCACGTGTGTTTCAGGGCTGCGCTATCTGCCAGGGCTTCTCGGCACAGAGCAGAACCCCACAGCATCAGGAGCTGCCTGCAACTGTTGGATGTCTCCGTGTGTTTTCCTTTCTGTGTGTGTTTGTGTGTGTGTGTCTATCTTTCTGTGTGTGTTCATTTCAGTGTGGCCAGTGCCCTCCAGCGCGGTTTCTCTGTAGTCCCTCCACCTTCTGCTGCGTGTCTCTCTTTGGCTCAGCTTAAGGGCTGTGGGGCTCCACCTTCTTTCTGTTGCTCCTGGTTTCTAAAGCCTCAGTGTGCTCGGGAACTGGTCCCCCACATGCAAGCCTACTAATCACTGGAGATCTCAAAGTGGTCACTCCTCCAGAAAGAAGACAAGCACAGCACACACAAAACCAAACTTTCCATGGGCCCTCAAGACCCGTTTAGGGACTACACTGGTGTGTGGTTGACCTACTTAGGATTCTTGTTAAAAAACTAAATTGTGATTGTCGTTCCTGTGTCAGAGTGAGCCTGAGATTCTGTATTGTGAGTAGGCACTCAGGGGATGACAGTGTTTTGGGTCACAATTGATATTTCCAGGAGCAAGTCTCTGTATTGTTCTATGGAAGTATGAATTATAGATGTAGGGTCTGCATTTAAAGGCCTCTTCTGGATATACTCTTGAATTTTATTCCTAATTTCTTTTGGAAGATAATTCAAACACACTGATTGGCAACATAGAGGGAAACACAGGGACAGTTTTTAAATTGCATTTTTTGAACAACTCATTTAGCTGACTATTTGCTTACCTAGAGACACATTAAATCGTCTGCAGGTAGCCATGGGATTACATCACAATGAGTTTGTTACCATGAATAATGGAAATCACAGTAAAGTAAGAAAACTTTAACAGATTTATAGTATCATGTCACTCTGTTGAGCACGATTTGGTACCTACTCTAGCTTGGGAATGATCCTTGATCTCAGCTGTCTGAGTTATTCTGGGGAGCAGTGCCCACTTTCTCTTCCAGTGTCTAAGGAACAGTGGTCTGCATGTGGGAACAGCAACATCTACACAAAGGCTGTGCTGCGATTGGTGGAGATTTCTAACATATTGACTGCAAATACGCAGGTATGTACATTTCCTTTAATCATCTGTATGCCTTCCTTGAATTGGTAAATGGGATGTGAATTTTAGCTGAACTCTTTACAAGGATGTTTTCTATGGCATACTGACTGGTTTTAACTGAACTAGGACTTAGGAGCAGTGAAACCTTTTCCTCCTGCTCTTTTTCTGCTGCTGAAAACTCATGTCTTTCCATAAAGATGAATGCACCTGCCTACATGTGGGCAAACAATGTGTGTACGACCATCCCAGGTTTAGCATTTCAGCTACACAAGTCACACCTTACAAGTTAGGAATCCTGACATGCTCTGAGTAAATCCTAATCATGGACATTTAGGAAAGTATATATAAACTGCATTTTATTTGTTACTTTTTATTTCCTATGGCATCAATGGTCCCAAAATATAGTGGTCCAATAAAGTGTTAATGAGAAATAGATCAGTTTTCAAGAGCCTAACTTAAGCAACTATGTTTGATGGAGGAAACTGATTTTATCCTTAGTAACACATTCAGTAAAGTCTGGAATTTTGTTGTTGTTTTGGTTCTTGTTGTTTTCCCAGAGAAACAAAAGAGGAAAAGAAAGCTTCATTCCTGAGGAAGAAAAACATGAGGTTGAAAAAACTTACACACCTTTCCACAGCCTGGCCTTTGAGAAGTTTTCTTTCTTCAAATTGTTTCCCTCATATTCTTATCCTGTTTTCTTCTATTTCCAGCAATTGTATGGCAGGAAAGAGTTCCTAGAGAGAGAAGACAAAGATGGTCTATGTTGCAGAAGAAGCCCCAAGCTCAAGACTGGAGAACTGAATGTGCAACCTGCAAGGTAACTGGAGACAATGAAAATAATGTCGGGTAAGTTGGATGCTAAAAGCTTGTCTGGAGGGAATGAAGGTTCCAGGTTTAGGATCTGCTTATCACACACACAAAATGGAAAACCAAATGGCAGGGTAGGACCTTCCTTCAACTATGATTCAGTGAAAAGAGTCCCTCAGAAACAGATTTCATCTGCTGATTAACCTCCGACACACGGTTACACTCTGGATTTAGGTGTCCATAAGAGTGAGAATCTGCATTTTTAACACTGGGAAGTGTTTTTCTCTCCACAGGACAAGTTGACCATGGGTTTCTGTGTACAGGCCGAAAAAGCCATTTGAGGGAAACACTTTGTAGCAAGATGATGATGTTTTCTGTAAAAACAATAAAGTGACTAAGATCCATTGCATGTTGTGCTTGGCTTTCACAGGGGTCCTCAGCGGCATGCCTGGACATCCATCTCGGGATTGGGCTTCGCCCCAGAAAGCATCTGAGACACTCTCTCCCCCGATCCGCCCCCGGGGGAGACCAGTTCTGGGAGTGGCTGCCTCTGCCACTGGCTGCACTTGCTGCTTTGTCTTTCTTCACACCTTCTCCAGACAGCAGCGCTGAGAAGCAAGGGTCCCTGAGCTTGGAGACCAAGGCAGGGCCCCTTGGTGGGTGGCCCAGGTTGAAGCGGGGCAGTGATCTCATGGAGCCAAACAATGTTCTGCTGACACCCTCCCATACTGGGGTCCAGCGAACCCTGCCACACCTCACCAGACTGAATCTCCAGCCCCGCGGGACCCAATCCCTGCCCACGTCGTCTGATCTGGAATCCAGTGGGCAGAGCAGACCCAGGTGCCCACCTCCTGGTCTCAAGCGCCCTCCCCATCCAGCCGACCTGAACAGGAAAGTCGGCTCATGGAGCCACTGAGGTCAGGATGGTCGAGCCTCTGCTCAGCTTGTGGCAGTCAGCCTCCTTCCCTGGGGCCACCTCAGACACTGCTGCCAGCATTTTCCAGTGCCACTACGGCCCCCTGCCACAGAGCACCCACATTGCCGCTGGCCAGCCGAGCACACCAATGTGCATGGGCAAGCGGCGTGTCACAAGCGCAAGCTCCCACCCGGGGCTCACAACACAGTGAAAGCCCCCGTGGCCTGGGAAACTGCCGTCTCAGCAGCTTGGCAAACCAGGGTCCCTCCGTGGCAGTGCCTGGGTGTTGGGTGATGGCCCCTCTCTCCCTGGGATCCTTGCCAGAGTCCCGCGATTTCAGGAGTTGGGAAGGGCAGGACCAGGCTGAGAAAAGCTGCAGCAGAGTTTCAGGGATGCCCAGGGTGATCCCCAAGGATCCCCACGATACTTCAGGCCTACTCAGATGCTGTGGGGTGGTGCATCCCCTTGAAAGCTGTCCCTTCTGGGATTTTTAGGTATCACCAGCCTGTGTCTCCCGGGGCTGCTCTCTCCCCAAGGGGCTTCCCGGCAGACAGCAGAATCCCACAGCCTCAGGAGCTGCCTGTGACTGTTGGATGTCTCCATGTGTCTTGCTTTCTTCGTGTGTGTTTATCTGTGTGTGTCCATGTGTGCATGTCTGTGTGTGTCCATGTGTCCATGTCTGTGTGTGTCCATGTGCATCTTCCTCTGTGTGTTCTTTTATGTGTGTGAGACTTGTATGCTAGACATGAACGTGGCCAGTGCACTCCAGCGCAGTTTCTCTGTCATCCCTCTACATTCTGCTGCCGGTCTGTCCTCATCTCAGCTTAGGGGCTGTGGGGCCCTGCCTTCTTTGTGTTGTTCCTGGTTTCTGAAGCCTTAGTGTAGTGAGGGTCTGGCTCCCACAAGCAGACCTCCTAATCACCTGTCCATTCTGAGCGGGTCACTCCTCCAGAAAGAAAACCAACACAGGACACCCAAAACCAAACCTTTCCATGGGCCCTTGGTCCTGAGGCACATGTAGGGCTGCTACTGTCCTCAGGACCCCTTGAGGGACACACTGTTGTACAGGTTTCCTACATAAGATTCTTGTTTAAAGGAAATTGTCATTCCTGTGTCAGGGTGAGCCTGAGATTGTGTATTTGGAGTAGGCATTCAGGGGATGCCAGTGCTTATGGGTCATGTTTGATATTTTCAGGAGCAAG